ATATACAGTTTAATGTTGTTTTCATGAAAAATATGTTACGGATTTAGAATAATCCCGGTCCGTAATTAAAATATCTTAATTGAAAAATTGATGTATCGGTGCACAGTCAAGTTAGGACTTAACGAGGAATTCGGGATTTAGACAAAACTGCAATAAGTGTTATGATGTTGTAGAAAGGTAATCTGGGTTTCTAATCCTTAAAGTAATTATGAGAAATAAATTCATGTAATCAAAGTAATAATGTATCGGTGAACACAACAAACACACACTAACACAGGAGATTATTTTATAAGGAACAATGTCCTTTACTAATGCTAGGGCTTTGTTCCTCGTCATTTATTCAGGCTTTGTTGATGTAAAAACTAAATGTGTTGTAGATTACAGACATGCTAGTGAAGATTGGGGCTAAAGTTGATGTAAAAACTAAATGTGTTGTAGATTACAGACATGTTGGTGAAGGCCGGGGCTAAAGTTGATGTAAAAACTAAATGTGTTGTAGATTACAGACATGCTAGTGAAGATTGGAGCTAAAGTTGATGTAAAAACTAATTGTGTTGTAGATTACAGACATGCTGGTGAAGGCCGGGGCTAAAGTTGATGTAAAAACTAAATGTGTTGTAGATTACAGACATGTTGTTGAAGGCCGGAGCTAAAGTTGATGTAAAAACTAATTGTGTTGTAGATTACAGACATGCTGTTGAAGGCCGGGGCTAAAGTTGATGTAAAAACTAAATGTGTTGTAGATTACAGACATGTTGTTGAAGGCCGGAGCTAAAGTTGATGTAAAAACTAATTGTGTTGTAGATTACAGACATGTTGTTGAAGGCCGGGGCTAAAGTTGATGTAAAAACTAAATGTGTTGTAGATTACAGACATGCTGGTGAAGATTGGGGCTAAAGTTGATGTAAAAACTAAATGTGTTGTAGATTACAGACATGCTGGTGAAGATTGGAGCTAAAGTTGATGTAAAAGCTAAATGTGTTGTAGATTACAGACATGCTGGTGAAGGCCGGAGCTAAAGTTGATGTAAAAACTAAATGTGTTGTAGATTACAGACATGCTGGTGAAGGCCGGAGCTAAAGTTGATGTAAAAACTAAATGTGTTGTAGATTACAGACATGCTGGTGAAGGCCAGAGCTAAAGTTGATTTAAAAACTAAATGTGTTGTAGATTACAGACATGCTGGTGAAGGCCAGAGCTAAAGTTGATGTATAAACTAAATGTGTTGTAGATTACAGACATGCTGGTGAAGGCCAGAGCTAAAGTTGATGTAAAAACTAAATGTGTTGTAGATTACAGACATGCTGGTGAAGATTGGGGCTAAAGTTGATGTAAAAACTAAATGTGTTGTAGATTACAGACATGCTGGTGAAGGCCAGAGCTAAAGTTGATGTAAAAACTAAATGTGTTGTAGATTACAGACATGCTGGTGAAGGCCAGAGCTAAAGTTGATGTATAAACTAAATGTGTTGTAGATTACAGACATACTGGTGAAGGCCAGAGCTAAAGTTGATGTATAAACTAAATGTGTTGTAGATTACAGACATGATGGTGAAGGCCGGAGCTAAAGTTGATGTAAAAACTAAATGTGTTGTAGATTACAGACATGCTAGTGAAGATTGGAGCTAAAGTTGATGTAAAAACTAATTGTGTTGTAGATTACAGACATGCTGGTGAAGGCCGGGGCTAAAGTTGATGTAAAAACTAAATGTGTTGTAGATTACAGACATGCTAGTGAAGATTGGGGCTAAAGTTGATGTAAAAACTAATTGTGTTGTAGATTACAGACATGTTGTTGAAGGCCGGGGCTAAAGTTGATGTAAAAACTAAATGTGTTGTAGATTACAGACATGCTGGTGAAGATTGGGGCTAAAGTTGATGTAAAAACTAAATGTGTTGTAGATTACAGACATGCTGGTGAAGATTGGAGCTAAAGTTGATGTAAAAACTAAATGTGTTGTAGATTACAGACATGCTGGTGAAGGCCGGAGCTAAAGTTGATGTAAAAACTAAATGTGTTGTAGATTACAGACATGCTGGTGAAGATTGGGACTAAAGTTGATGTAAAAACTAAATGTGTTGTAGATTACAGACATGCTGGTGAAGATTGGGGCTAAAGTTGATGTAAAAACTAAATGTGTTGTAGATTACAGACATGTTGTTGAAGGCCGGAGCTAAAGTTGATGTAAAAACTAAATGTGTTGTAGATTACAGACATGTTGTTGAAGGCCGGAGCTAAAGTTGATGTAAAAACTAAATGTGTTGTAGATTACAGACATGCTGGTGAAGGCCAGAGCTAAAGTTGATGTAAAAACTAAATGTGTTGTAGATTACAGACATGCTGGTGAAGGCCAGAGCTAAAGTTGATGTAAAAACTAAATGTGTTGTAGATTACAGACATGCTGGTGAAGGCCAGAGCTAAAGTTGATGTAAAAACTAAATGTGTTGTAGATTACAGACATGCTGGTGAAGATTGGGGCTAAAGTTGATGTAAAAACTAAATGTGTTGTAGATTACAGACATGCTGGTGAAGGCCGGAGCTAAAGTTGATGTAAAAACTAAATGTGTTGTAGATTACAGACATGCTGGTGAAGGCCGGAGCTAAAGTTGATGTAAAAACTAAATGTGTTGTAGATTACAGACATGCTGGTGAAGGCCAGAGCTAAAGTTGATTTAAAAACTAAATGTGTTATAGATTACAGACATGCTGGTGAAGGCCAGAGCTAAAGTTGATGTATAAACTAAATGTGTTGTAGATTACAGACATGCTGGTGAAGGCCAGAGCTAAAGTTGATGTAAAAACTAAATGTGTTGTAGATTACAGACATGCTGGTGAAGATTGGGGCTAAAGTTGATGTAAAAACTAAATGTGTTGTAGATTACAGACATGCTGGTGAAGATTGGGACTAAAGTTGATGTAAAAACTAAATGTGTTGTAGATTACAGACATGCTGGTGAAGATTGGGGCTAAAGTTGATGTAAAAACTAAATGTGTTGTAGATTACAGACATGCTGGTGAAGATTGGGGCTAAAGTTGATGTAAAAACTAAATGTGTTGTAGATTACAGACATGCTGGTGAAGATTGGGGCTAAAGTTGATGTAAAAACTAAATGTGTTGTAGATTACAGACATGCTGGTGAAGATTGAGGCTAAAGTTGATGTAAAAACTAAATGTGTTGTAGATTACAGACATGCTGGTGAAGGCCGGGGCTAAAGTTGATGTAAAAACTAAATGTGTTGTAGATTACAGACATGCTGGTGAAGATTGGGACTAAAGTTGATGTAAAAACTAAATGTGTTGTAGATTACAGACATGCTGGTGAAGATTGGGGCTAAAGTTGATGTAAAAACTAAATGTGTTGTAGATTACAGACATGCTGGTGAAGATTGGGGCTAAAGTTGATGTAAAAACTAAATGTGTTGTAGATTACAGACATGCTGGTGAAGGCCGGAGCTAAAGTTGATGTAAAAACTAAATGTGTTGTAGATTACAGACATGTTGTTGAAGGCCGGGGCTAAAGTTGATGTAAAAACTAAATGTGTTGTAGATTACAGACATGCTGGTGAAGGCCGGAGCTAAAGTTGATGTCCAAGAGATGAATGGGGACACACCCCTGTTGATTGCTGCCAGCAATGGCTTTCTCAATGGGGTACAGATTCTTGTTAAGGTGGGTTCTTCAGAGGGCTTAACTCTTGTCAACATCATCTCATCAGAGCATTGTTAACTCCCTTTGTTTAGTTAGCTCATCATTGTTAGCTCCCTTTGTTTAGTCAGCTCATCAGAGCATTGTTACCTCCCTTTGTCTAGTCAGCACATCAGAGAATCTTTAGCTCCCTTTGTCTAGTCAGCTCATCATTGTTGGCTCCCTTTGTTTAGTCAGCTCATCATTGTTACCTCCCTTTGTCTAGTCAGCTCATCAGAGCATTGTTAACTCCCTTTGTCTAGTCAGCTCATCATTGTTAGCTCCCTTTGTCTAGTCAGCTCATCATCGTTAGCTCCCTTTGTCTAGTTAGCTCATCATTGTTAACTCCCTCTGTCTAGTTAGCCCTCCATCTCTACAAGGGTGCGAACAACACTTGTTAACAATTCACTTTGGTGGGAACATGTCCATTGTTGATCTTTTACATTAAATATTTTAATGTAACAATTAATAGACTTATTTTTGTACAGAGTTTTCTGTTATAGAAATAATTATTTCCAGTCCGGTGCTAGTTTGAATGTAACAAACCATAAAGGGAACACAGCCTTACATGAGGCAGCCAAATGTGACCAGGGTGACACCGTGACCATTCTGCTACATGCAGGAGCTGACACCAGAATTGTCAACAAGCAAGGGAAACTACCCATAGATTTGACTGTTGTATGTTCACATTTCAAACTATTGCTTTTAATTTTTAACACCATTTAAAATATTTTTATTGTAGGATATTTTGCTATGTAATGTTGCTACTCAAAAAAAATATTTTAAAAATATCAATGTTGATTATGAGAGAGTTAATATTTTGCTAAGGTGCTACACAAAAAATTATTTTAAAATATCAATGTTGATTAAAAGAGAGTTAATGACTTGACTCATTAGGACCCAGCACTGCATGCCTTGATTGATACAGCCACATTCAAGCTCAATGAGACAAAATCACAGAACAGCAACATCAACAACCAGCAGAACAATGCCTCAGGTAATACAGCATTCAAGGGGTCCCTACAATTATGTGAACTGTGTAGTTTTTCTTCTATTGTATGGACATTATCAGAGATAGTGAATATTTCTTATGAGATCTTATTACTATCAATCAAAAAAATATTTTATTATAATTTTCACTTAACAGCTGTAAAGATATAGCAACATAAATAAATAATATGTGTTTGTTAATCTCAAAAATCAAGTTAAATGGTTAATAACTAATTATGTCTAAGTTCATAATTGTTCAATATTTAAACTTTTTAATTAGTGTATTTAAATTTGTAACACACCAACAAAATGTTTTGGTGTTCCAGAGAATAAACACCAGATCAGCATTAAAGAGTTGTTTGCAGCGTTTGAAGAAACTGACCTCCACACCCTGCAGCGGCTGACCGCTTCCATCCGCTCGTTTGACCCTAAGGCCAGCCTACGCAGGACTGTCACGCGGGACAAGAGCTACCCCAAGCTGGACGTCATACGGCGCAGCCATTCCATTCTGTCTTTCAACCATGGCTCACTCAGGAAAACAAAGTCAGTGGACAAGGCTGACCCCTTGTATATCTACTCACTGTTTCAGTCTCAAAGTTTGGACCAGATCTCCAACTCAGGTTCTGCTAGTGATGGAAATCTTACTCCAATGGGAGATAATTCAAAGTTTCAAACTTTTTCAAGTCAGTTACCAGACCTGTTTTCTCATCAGATGGAGATCAGTGAAAAAGAGAATTGTTTACAAACTTGTACTAAGTTGTCCTGTGAAAATTCACTTTCCAATGACCAAATGCCTTCGTTAATGGGAGATAACTCTCAAAATAAAGCAGTTGCTGAATCAGCTACTGAACCTGACCAACATAAACCCACTGCAAATTGTAGTGATTTTGTTTGCAAGGGAGGTAATTCATCCAACAACTATAATTCCAACACAGTAGCTGAACCTGAGGCTAATGGGGACAATTCTGGCAGTGCAAATAACTTTTCTACTGGAGTTGCCAGTCATGAGACAAGTCCTAGGCAAGTTAGAGAACATGAGGAGGTACCAGCTGGGCCGTCAGCCGCTGCTGATCACTGCTCGGATGGAGATCTCTTGTGTGAAAATATTGGTGTAGGAGGCAGCAGGGATATTTCTAATGAACTAAGCAAATACAATGTGGAAGTCTCTGATTTTCAGGCTTCATTGAATATCAAAACTAATGCAGGTGATTGTGATGAAGAATTAGACAAAGGCAGGATAAAAGGGGAGTTTATTTTAGAAAGTGATCAAAAAAGCTTAATTCGTATTAGAGCATTAGCTAATGGCATTGTGAAGTCAATATTGAAAGCCAGCATTGCAGAGGTTTCTGGGTTAACACCAGACGCGGCAGTTGATTTGAATTCAAATAACAATTGTACCAAGTTTTTCCTCCAGCATTCTTGCACTGTGGAGGCTGACCCCACACCAGGTGCCGTGCCGAGTTCAGTGCCAGATGGGCAGGTGAAACCACAGACTTTCATGGAAACTTGTCACACCTGTCCATCCCACCTGCAAAAACAAGCATCATTGGAATCTGAAGTATTGGCCAATGGTGTTGAGGTTAGCGAGCAACAGCTCCACAATGATGTGGCCACTACACAGGCCATCAATGATGTGGCCACTACACAGAAGGCCAACAATGATGTGGCCACTACACAGGCCAACAATGATGTGGCCACTACACAAAAGGCCAACAATGATGTGGTCACTACACAGAAGGCCAACAATGATGTGGCCACTACACAGGCCATCAATGATGTGGCCACTACACAAAAGGCCAACAATGATGTGGCCACTACACAGGCCAACAATGATGTGGCCACTATACAGAAGGCCAACAATGATGTGGTCACTACACAGAAGGCCAACAATGATGTGGCCACTACACAGGCCATCAATGATGTGGCCACTACACAGGCCATGAATGATGTGGCCACTACACAGAAGGCCAACAATGATGTGGCCACTACACAGGCCAACAATGATGTGGCCACTATACAGAAGGCCAACAATGATGTGGTTACTACACAAAAGGCCAACGATGATGTAGCTAAAATCATTTGTGACCCGGAATCATTTTTTGATGATTCTGACCCAGATACAAGTCAGAGTGATGAGGCTCACAGCCATGTTGAAAGCTAAAGGAACTCTTCTGTGTAGGAGAATACAAGTTCTGTTGTTTAATCCCCAACAACACTGTGTTACTAACACATATCTTAAGCATTGTGTACACAGGGCAATACTCTGTTTATACTGAAATATGTTGTAAATTATATCACTGTAGAGAGAGAGAGAGATGTATTCTCAAAAAGAATATACCTTATTTATATAAAGCTAGTATCTGTTATCAAGATACGAATAAAACTTTGATCAATGTTATTTTACTTGTTTTTGTTTCATCACTCAAACACTCTTGTCACCCAAACACCCAGGTCACATCACCCAAACACCCAGGTCACATCACCCAAACACCCAGGTCACCCAAACACCTAGGTCACCCAAACACCCAGGTCACCCAAACACCCAGTTCACATCACCCAAACACCCACATCACCCAAACACCCAGTTCACATCACCCAAACGCCCAGGTCACATCACCCAAACGCCCAGGTCACATCACCCAAACACCCAGGTCACATCACCCAAACACCCAGGTCACATCACCCAAACACCCAGGTCACCCAAACACCCAGGTCACCCAAATACCCAGGTCACATCACCCAAACACCCAGGTCACATCACCCAAACACCCAGGTCACATCACCCAAACACCCAGGTCACCCAAACACCCAGGTCACCCAAACACCCAGTTCACATCACCCAAACACCCAGGTCACATCACCCAAACACCCAGGTCACCCAAACACCCAGGTCACATCACCCAAACACCCAGGTCACATCACCCAAACACCCAGGTCACATCACCCAAACACCCAGGTCACATCACCCAAACACCCAGGTCACCCAAACACTCAGTTCACCCAAACACCCAGGTCACATCACCCAAACACCCAGGTCACTTCACCCAAACACCCAGGTCACATCACCCAAACACCCAGGTAACCTAAACACCTAGGTCAACCAAACACCTGGGTCACTTCATCTAAACACCCAGGTCACCCAAACACCTAGCTCACATTTTGCTACTGTAAATCAGATTGCAACTTTTTTTCTTTGTGGTAAAACTATGCAACAATTTACATTTTTAAAAAAAAAAAATTCGGAATTTACTTTTTTGTATTGTTTTTTAAATCTTTAAATTTTTTAAAAATAAGTTTATGTTTTTTGGAAATATTTATTTATCAGAATGCGACTTAATATTTTTGGGATTTTTATGTTTTTGGACAAAGCATTAAAAAGGTAAAAAATCAAAATGAATATAGAACCTGCCAAAAATGTGTTCTATTGCATCTATTCCTATTAACTGCTAGTGCAAAGGTCTAATTTTACCTACTTTGACTAAGAAAGTATTGGACTATTAATCAAAATTTCTTTATACTCGTTTACTACAAATAAATAATGTGGCACTAATTAATATGGTTGTGAGACAGTATAATTAATCAATTTACCTAAACTAATTATAATTTCATTTATAACTGATCTGGTTACATTTACTTTTATATATATATATATATATATATATATATATATATATATATATTATGTATATATATATATATATATATATATATATATATATATATATATATATGTATATGTATGTGTATATATATATATATATATATTAATGTGAAATCACATTTTATTTCAGAATAATCTGATAAGAGTTAAGAATTTTGAAATTTAATGTTTAATATTGTTGATCAATCAGATGAAAGTGCTGTCCTTCGGCTAAATACAGAACTGGGGTTGCTGATCTTTGCAGAATTATTTTCAACAAAACACTATCCTATTGTTTGATTCTTGTGATACATGTTTACACTTTTTATATATCCAGTGCCTGATTGTTGTTTTATCATGTAAAGGAATGTTACTGTAATTTTAAATGAAGGTGAATGACTATAAAAATGTGATTTGTTTGTGTCAAAGGTAACACATTTGTGTTAGAATTTAAGTCAGATCCTGCCGCACCTGCTACACAGTCCAACAAAGAGTTAAAATAATGTATGGAAATAATGTGTCACTCCTTACCTACCTCTTTATTTTATTCTGGTATGGATTACATTGAGCTATACAGATGTACATGAATTAGTAAAAAAAATTACTTTTTGTTATTTATTAAGATGTTAATAATAACAGATGTACATGAATTAGTAAAAAAATTAACTTTTTGTTAATTATTAAGATGTTAATAATAGTTAATATATTCTTTTCTATAGAAACATGAAACCACCCGAAAAGAAATTGAATATTCCATAATTTTTTTTCAAAATTTGTATTGATTAACATTACAAAATCACAATTTTTATTATTTTACTTTTTGACAATTAATTTTTATCAGCAGTTTGTTTTTTAAATTCAGATTTAAAAATATAAGTTGAAAACAAAAACAGTTATGTGGCTATTGCTAAAATCCTTGTTATTAAAAAAGTCATGCTGTATGTAATTAAAATGCTATTTCAAAATTAAAATAATTGTTTTTACTTACTATGTAGCAAATATTGTAATCGTGCTGAAAAACACAAACGAAAAACAAACACAACACTCATAACATAAACACAACTTAAATGCAAACATAAACGCATAGTGCTCACAGTTTAGCCCATGGTGAAAAATCGCACCCTATCCAAGCGCCGGTGGATGCGCCTGATTCAGTGAATGACTATAAAAACCCCAGCTTGTCAGCAAACGGAAACTTAGATTAATAATTAGTAAATAGTAGGTTCAGTGTATAAAATAAATAAAAGGCAGTATTTAAAATATCCGTGTTTTACCTACCATCAGTGGCGTAGCGAGGTCGGGTGTCACCCCCCCCCCCCCCCAGAGGCGTAGCGACCCTTCCCGGGGACAAATTTTCGATTTGCACTCCCCCCCCCCTCAAGTTTTCGATTTGCACCCCCCCCCCCTCGAACTTTCGATTTGCACCCCCCCCTCAAGTTTTTCTCTATATATTTTGCTATTTTTTGCCTTGGTGTCACCCCCCTAAATGGTGTCACCCGGTGCGGTCCGCACCCCACGCCCCCCTCCCTCGCTACGCCCCTGCCTACCATATTGCACTTTATCAATTCATGCATTTTTTTTCAGTACATTAAATTTTAAAAATTTACAATAGAGTTTCATGACTAAAACCATTGCGCACATAATGAACGTGATGACACGTGTATAACAGTGCGGAATAGTTGATTAAAAATTATAATTAGTAAACATGACGTTTAGTGAATAAAATAAATAAAATATAGCCTTTTATCAATCCATGCAAATTATAATATTCCAACAATAATGTCCTCTTACAATAATTTCCTCTGCAGATTTGTATTCACATTTAGCTAATTATATTATTCCAACAATAATTCCTTCTTGGGGATTTTGCATTCACATTTTTGTATTAGCGTGAGTTAAGTTTATTTTTAAATTACCTCCCTTGGCAAAAAACCAAAACAGTTTAATTAATTAATTAATTAGATCGACCCTAATATTAAAATGTAGCCACTTTTTCTAGGAATCAAAACGAAAATGTTATTTTAAATTGGTCCGTTTAATATGTTTTAGCAATTTGCGTGTATTTAAAATGTTCTTTACGTTATAGAAAAGAGTTAAAACAGTGGCAACTATAAAATACATTTAAGTCGTTATATAAACAAACCCTTCTCTATGACTATTAATAAGACACCGATGCATGTGAAAAGCACGATTATGTGATATGTATACTTTTATGGTTCCAAAATCTATAGCGATGACGGAATGGCTGGCAAACTACCAGCAGCGTTATTATATTATAGATTCGAGAAAGTTTAGGGGAGATCACTCCCGCTTTATTTTTTTGTGTGTCACACAATTGATGTAGAAAACAAATTAGTCCGTAATACCGTAACATTCTTTATTTCGACTGTATATACTTCAGCTCTTTATATTATTACCTATCATGTTTGCGCACTTTTTGGATCGGCGCATAACGCAGGCTGTTTAGAGAGAGAGGGGGGGGGGACAAAATCTGACAAAAATTATTTTTTTTTGCACCTTGATAGACTAGTGGCTATGTAAAAACAAAACAAAAAAACCAATCGATTGCAACAGTGATTGTTCTACAGTAACTAAAACACACTGTTGCATAGAGAGAGAAAACTACATACGTTGTAGTATGAAAAATAGGCAAATCTTCAAACCACTTTCATAACTTATTCTCTTCTTTAAATAGTCTAATCGGGGTGCCGATAATACTAATTTAAAAAGTTTTTTTTAATCGAATTAAAACTAAAAACGACTAAGCTATAAGTAGAAATTATAATTCCAAATTAATAGAATAAATAAAAATAAAATAAAGAAGAACGCGGGAAATCATTACACGTATCAAGTTTCCATGATTCATAACACTTATTTTGAAATTTCATCAACCTAGCTGTAACGGTACTCAAGCTATCGTGTTTACAGACACACACACACACAGACACACATCCACACACACACATACACACACACACAGACAGACGGACAAGATTGCAAAACTATGTTTTTCCGACACAGGGAGCTGTAAAACGTCGAGATTTGTAAAAATGTCTATTTTTTTTTAATTTATTTTTTGCAGGATTACAACTCAAGACTTTCTCTAAAACTTCGTATATACGAGAAAGTAAAAAATGCAAATTGTAACACTTTAAAAGACACAACAAAAATACAGTTTCCTGTTTTAAACTAAAACTTTTATTACTTAATATTAAATTGTCTAGTTACTTTTCAAACAACTTCTGGAATTGGATGTTTAATATAATGGGTAGTCACCGCAACCCATATCCGTGCACGCAATTTCACCCATGGAACACGAACAGTCGTTGCAATCGGACATAAAGTAGTCCCCATTTTTATATGTCTGTGAATTTCAATAATTTCAATCACAAACATTTTATACATTAAATATAAATAAATGTTGTTTAATGGCAAAAGTTAATACAACATAAATTTCCTTATAGTGACTGAAACGTCACAGACCTAACTCAATCACTATTTCAAGCGTCTTACAATTAGGTCTACCTGAAAACCGAACTTTTATACAAATATAAAACATCCACACTCGATAACAGCTATTAATAAATATAACGATTTATTTAAAATCTTACAACTTTGAACAACTAGCACTTAAACATATTAACCGACACAAAAGAAGATATGAATATGGTCTTCACATATACAGGGAAGATAATTCAAAATGGTTTGTTTACAATCGAGAAGGGAGAATGCTGAGCTGTGGTTAATATCACATACACTGTCTTTCAGCCAAAATTTACTCTACTCCAAGCTATTGTTATTTTTAATTTCTCATATACAGAGTATAGAAGTATTACTCAACGTCATACCAAGTTGGTATATGGGGGACCAAAAAAACATAAGGACTAGGCAAAACGCGAAAAAAAAAACTTACGACTCCATTGACCTCGCATACAGGGTCGGGTAATCGAGGGCACGATATACGATAGCATAATACTTTCCCCTCACCATTATCCTCGTAACATACACATTTGTTGCAATCGTCGGACGGTATGACACCTACCTTGTATATCTAGAACACAAATCTTAATGAAACAGTAATTTAAATATGTGCTTATGTACTCCTATAGCAATGTATGCCTACAGCATTAAATCAACAACAGAATTGTTATTAACGTGCAGTCTTATTTTAAAAAGAAATAATTGTTCTTATTAAGTTATTCTGGTATGTCTTGTCTGATCTGGTATGTCTTATTTTGTCTGTCTCGAATGTCTGGTATGTCTTGTCTGGTGTGTCTTATTTTGTCTGTCTGGAATGTCTGGTATGTCTTGTCTGGTGTGTCTTATTTTGTCTGGAATGTCTGGTCTATCTGGAATGTCTGGTGTGTTTGTCTAGTCAGTCTGGTCTGTCTGTTCAAGGCCATCAAATTTTGTTCCTAGAGAAAAATAAACATAAAGGCTACACAATGCACCAAAAAAAAATGACCTGTCCATTGTGTTGACACGTGACCTCAGGTTTTGGAGTGCATGGCTTTATGTCACATTTTAGATTAGGCCCAACACAGTGGCACTCGTTGCACTCGTTAAACTTTACTTGGGATCCTTTCTTGTATTTCTAGAAAACAGATTCAGCTTTATGAAACTGGTCTCAATCTTTGTTTATACACAACACAATATTAATACATGCATATAAAATAAATGATAAACACGTAGCTGATAAATTGATCAGTGATATGTCCACCACATATAACCCTTCATATGATTTTGATGGTTTGTATGTTTTTCTGGGAAACCATACCATAGTAAGATTTTCCAAGAGGTTGTTTCTGTCTTGGCTATCAATAGTATTTTCAAAAGCAACGAGTAATGCATATATGGGCTCTTCCATTCATAAATTTGCTCTAGCATTTGTCTCTCAGATTGATACTACTGCGTTATTTCGTCTGCAGCTTTGAAGATTCTGTCTAGAAAGATCCTTATATTTTACCGGACAGTGGTAGAAATGTGATGCCTCGCCAGATTTCACATTATTTTTTATTTCCGTGCAAAACATTTCTGTGTCTGTGGTTTCTGCTTTAACCATTTCTTCACTGATACAATTTATACCCGGTGTCTTTCCTTATTTTATTTTTTATAAGCTTTTATTTAACTCACTGTCTCTGTCTAGATCGAAACACCCGAGCGAAATTACGTGGATCAAGGCATGAGGACAATGCAACATGACGTTAAATTTGACTTAATGAGTTACCTAATTATTTTTTTATGAATTAATTAAAATTGTGTCCAAATTAGTCTCATCAAACTATTCCGCACTATTATACACGCGTCATCACGTTCATTGGGTGCGCAATAGTTTTTAGTCATGTAACTCTATTGTAAATTTAGAACATTTAAAGTACTGAAAAAAAAATTCATAAAAAACGTTTTAATAGCAAGCTTTTGTGTAATGATGCACTAAAAATAGAAAATAAAGTATACACTACTATTTAAATAACTATAAAGAAAAGCGTGGGTCTCTTCCTAAGTATTGATAAAGGTATCCAATAGATACTAAAGTGACCCACGCTTTTCTTAATAGTTATTTAAATAGTAGTGTATTATTTATTTTTTTACTTTTGATCAATTTTTTTGTATAGCTGCTTTCACTTCTGATATTTGTATGGGTATCATTATCTAGTTCTTTTTGGCTTTGTTGTATATATCAATGTGTTGGGCTTGTGGTGGTCTGTTTAGTAGTCCTGTAAAATATTCCTTCCATCTCTTGATTTTCATTTTCGCCTACCAATTTTTCCCGTTAGAGGTCCATTCTTTCCATTGTTTTGCGTCATACATTTTAATTGACGAACCTTTTCTAATACCTTAACTGTAGCTATTTTTTTTTATTTTTTTTTTGTTGAAAAATAAAGATATTTTATTTTAAAAAACAACAGAAAATAATTTAGTTTAAAAAAACAGTAATTAATGGGGTTTTTTTTTACATTTTTACTTTCTCGAATACGAATGATAAAGGAAGTAAGGTAATCAAAATCGAGATTTTAGTACCGTTATAGCTAGGCTGGTGAAATTTCATATACAAGTTCTGTATCAACTTTTCAGCGATTTCCGCCAACCGGAAGTGGCACTTTTTCTACTTTTGGTTTTTCCAATGTGGTTTTACCCCGATCCACTTCGGTGGACGATATATTTGGTGTCAACCCCTTAACTTTTTGTCGAAACGTGTCAAGTTGTGCATCCACTTATAGAAAGCGTGTAGGGGCCTAACTTTAACATTTATTAATTAAACTGGAAAAATCATTGTATTTGTAGTAAATTATTAAATTTGGTGTCATCCCCACCGCCACTCCAGACGTGGGTGGACGGTTCAGTTATTACAATTCTCAAGAAAAGCTTTTCCTCAGGCAAATTTTGCAACGTTTAGTTCTATGCCCCCCCCCCCCCCCCTCCAACCCCCTCCACCCGGTGATAGCTTTAAACTGTGCACGTGTATAATCGGTTATAATTACAGCTGGATGTAGCATTGTTCCCTATATCGTTGGCAGGTTTACGGCATGGTGTTACCCCCCCCCCCCCCCACCTCCCGTCAGGATTTGTCATTTGCTCTAAATTAAAATAGTTTTAAACTATAATTTATCATTTACTTAACTGAAATGATCGTTGTTTTTTTTTCTATATTTATTTGCAATTATCGTTGCCTTGATTCCAGCACCCTAAACGGTTGTCCGTCCCCCCCTCCCCCGTAACCCCTCGCTACGCCTCTGCACTACTGCCTGCTTTAAACAATAACATGACTACACGAACTGACCTTTCCATTGAGTTCACATTTGTCTTCTAGTATTTTCTTGCACGGCTTTAAATCGCATTGTATATTAGGCCCAACACAGAGGCAATTGTTGCAATCGTTGAACGGAACAAGGTCTCCTTTGTTGTATGTCTATAAAACAATATAAAAACCTTTCTAATAACAAGCTTTTAATTGCACTGAAAATAAGAAAATAAGGCAAAATATACTTTCTTTAATAAAAATGTTGGTCGTTCATGAGATCTCTTAATTATTTTAGCCATTAACAGCCATCACCATACTTGTTTATTTAAAAGGTTAACAATTGTTTTATTTTTAAATTGATGTGTAGTTTGTGTGCACATAAACAGCTATAACATGGTGTTAATTTTTACTTTCTTGTAAACAGAGTATACATGAAGTATTGTAATCGTGATGAATAATGAACAGTTATTTTGACACTTTTTTATCTCCCTACTTTATCGTGCACGGAATATAGAATATAAATATAAAGGATGTGCATCTCATGTATCGTGCGAAAAAATCTAAATCCAGATTTTTGTCAAATGTGTAGGGCCCTATCTTTTACAACCTTACGGAGCCAATGTGTATGAGTGTGTTTGTGTGTGTATGGGGGGGTGCATTTGTCTGTGTGTGTCTTTGTGTGACTGTGTGTTTCCTATAACCAGTGCCGGCGCCAGGTTATTTATCGCCCTAGGCAATACTTATTAAAAGCGCCTCCACCCGCATTTTTTTCGTGCCCCCGTATTATCAGTGGCGTAGCGACCCTTCCCGGCGCCCGGCGACAAACTTTTGATTTGCACCCCCCTCAAACTTTCGATTTTCAGCCCCCCCCCCCCCCCTCAAACTTTCAATATTTTTTTCCAACCCATTTTGGAGCCTTCCTACGGACAGCACCCTAGGCGACCGCCTAGTTCGCCTTATAGGTAGCGCCGGCCCTGCCTATAACTTAGTACCGATTCAGTCTTGCTAACCAAATTTCATACATGAGTATTAAATCCAATTTGTAGTTTTCTTTCAACTTTTAAGCGATTTCCATTTACCGTAAGTGGCACTGACTGTGGTTTCTCAAAAGAGTATTGCTTGACTACCGTTTAAGTTAGGTAGACGGAATTTTAAATATAAATATTAAATTGTATGCGACGGCAGTTGTTAACTTGAACTATTTCCGAACCGGAAGTGGTACTTTACTTTATTTCTGTTTAACCCGATAATATTAGTACTATTTCAGTTAGGTGGACGAATTTTTTTTAAATAGGTATCAGATCTTATCTTTGGATTACTTTCAAATTTTAAAATTTTGATTGGACCAAATTAGTAGGCATTTCTATCCAACTACTCAACAAGCGTCATCACGTTCAATAGGCGCGCAATGGTTTTTAGTCATGTAACTCTACATGTTTTGTTTACAATAAAGTCTAAGTAGGGCCTACTGAAAAAAAATGCATTAAAAAAACGTTTTAATAACAAGCTTTTATGTTATAATGCACTTTAGTACCTATTGGATACCTTTACTAAAATTTGAGAAGTGACCCACGCTTTTCTTTATTGTTATTTAAATAGTAGTGTATAATTTATTTTCTACTGTTTGTGCATTGTTACATAAAAGCTTCTAATTAAAACGTTTCTTTTATGAATTTTTTTTTATTAATTAAATCTCGTGATATGAAAAATGGTACATTGACAACATTGAAATTAGCTTAGGTGCGTCTGGTTTTCATAGAACATCGTGATTGTATCTGACAAGGAGGCTAGAGGGAAGGTCTTTAAGGCTTTGGAACAGTTCTCAGAGGGTCAAAACTTCTTTCATTTGTCATTGTGGCAAATGTGGGACCAAACAAAATGTTAAGCTTTATCTATACACAGTATGCGAACATTTTCTCCAATTTTAAAAATAGAAAATAAAATCTTACAACACTGTCGTGAATGCAATTTTCAGCAACAGCACATCCAACGAACACAGCAACAACCACCGTGAACAGGTATTTCATTTTGCTTGTTTTGTTGAATAAAGAATTATCCAGAAACGTGTCAGTAACTAAATAAATATTATATATATATATATATATATATATATATATATATATATATATATATATATATATATATATATATATATATATATATATATATATATATATATATATGATTTACTTATAGTCTAGACTCTAACTCAGTAGTCACAAATATACAGTGAGATAATTTTCAATGTATAGATGTTTAGAAAGACTGCAGTCAGGTTATGTAGTAACATATAACACATCTGCCTCTTCTGTAATCGCTGGTAAGTAAGAGGGGAACGCCGACAGTGTACATAATCGTAGCTATAAAGAGGGGGACACCGACATTGTACATAGGCGTAGCTATAAAGATCGGGGACACCGACATTGTACATAGGCGTAGCTATAAAGAGCGGGACGCCCTCAGTGTCGACTATAGGGTCGTCACTGCACAAGTCGACGTCTACTAGTGCAGTGGCGTAACAGATCATTGAGGGGGGAGGGGGAATGGACTTTACTTTGGGGGTAGAGGGAGCAGCAAGTCGAGATAAAGCGCTATGCTACGAAGTAAACCAAGCCAGAGTAAAAATCACAACACAAAAAACACTACCTGCGATTTTGTGATCCTTATAAAAAAAAAAATTCGTTTCAATTTTATTTCATAGCTAAAACATATAAAAATGTTTTCTAATTAAAAAAAAAAAATGAACTGAAAATAAGAAAAAACTATATTTTAATTGCACTTACTATGAACTATCATTTTTAAAAAATAAATTAAAAAGACAATTATTGTCCAAAAAACTAGCCTAGTCTGAGTTTTAAAGTGTAATTTGTAGCAGTTTGCGCTACAATTTCCACCCTACCTAACAGAATTGCCCCAAGCAACTCGCTTTTATCATAAGCTATTTTACGGATCAGACAGAAACCTTAAAATCGGCGATAATTATTTTTCTTTGATCCAATTATTCCAAGATGTTTCGCAATAACGTAAAAGCTCCTGATCTCTGAGTCTTTCCGATGTAACTGTATTTCATAACGCCATTCCTGGACTACGCTCCTGTTTAAATAATTTATTTATAATGTTATTTCGACATACATTAATTCCAATATACCGATACTCTGAACACGTAATATTACTGCACGTAATACCAAACAATGATAAATGTTAATTACCAGTATACTATTAGTAAAGTAATTTGCATAGTTAATTAGCAGTTAAACTTAAATAGGAAAAAATAATCAGCATATGACTAGTTAGTAATATATACAATTCAATGTTGTTTTGTACTATTTGTAGACATATGTCACGTATTTAATATAATCCCGGTTCGCAGTTAAAATACGTGAAATAATTTATGTATCGGTGTACTGTCAAATTAGGACTTACTGAGGAATTCGGGATTTAGATAAAACTGCAATAAATGTTTTGATGTTGTAGAAAGATAATCTGGGTTTTTAATCCTAAAAGTAATTATAAGGAATAAATTAATAAAATTCAACAAATTTTGTTTCGGAAAAGTCAAACACAATCAGCATACACAAAACGTCATTTCTTTAGCCGGGCTTTGTTCCTCGTCATTTAGCCGGGCTTTGTTCCTCGTCATTTAGCCGGGCTTTATTCCTCGTCATTTAGCCGGACTTTGTTCCTCGTCATTTAGCCGGGCTTTGTTCCTCGTCATTTAGCCGGACTTTGTTCCTCGTCATTTAGCCGGGCTTTGTTCCTCGTCATTTCACTAGCCGGGCTTTGTTCCTCGTCATTTCACTAGCCGGGCTTTGTTCCTCGTCATTTCACTAGCCGGGCTTTGTTTCTCGTCATTTCACTAGCCGGGCTTTGTTCCTCGTCATTTAGCCGGGCTTTGTTCCTCGTCATTTAGCCGGGCTTTGTTCCTCGTCATTTCACAAGCCGGCTTTGTTCCTCGTCATTTCACTAGCCGGGCTTTGTTCCTCGTCATTTCACTAGCCGGCTTTGTTCCTCGTCATTTAGCCGGGCTTTATTCCTTGTCATTTAGCCGGGCTTTGTTCCTCGTTATTTAGCCGGGCTTTGTTCCTCGTCATTTAGCCGGGCTTTGTTCCTCGTCATTTAGCCAGGCTTTGTTCCTCGTCATTTCACTAGCCGGGCTTTGTTCCTCGACATTTCACTAGCCGGGCTTTGTTCCTCGTCATTTCACTAGCCGGGCTTTGTTCCTCGACATTTCAGTAGCCGGGCTTTGTTTCTCGTCATTTCACTAGCCGGGCTTTGTTTCTCGTCATTTCACTAGCCGGGCTTTGTTTCTCGTCATTTCACTAGCCGGGCTTTGTTTCTCGTCATTTCACTAGCCGGGCTTTGTTCCTCGACATTTCACTAGCCGGGCTTTGTTCCTCGTCATTTAGCCGGGCTTTGTTCCTCGTCATTTAGCCGGGCTTTGTTCCTCGTCATTTAGCCGGACTTTGTTCCTCGTCATTTAGCCGGGCTTTGTTCCTCGTCATTTCACTAGCCGGCTTTGTTCCTCGTCATTTCACTAGCCGGGCTTTGTTCCTCGTCATTTAGCCGGGCTTTGTTCCTCGTCATTTAGCCGGGCTATGTTCCTCGTCATTTCACTAGCCGGGCTTTGTTCCTCGTCATTTAGCCGGGCTTTGTTCCTCGTCATTTAGCCGGGCTTTGTTCCTCGTCATTTCACTAGCCGGGCTTTGTTCCTCGTCATTTCACTAGCCGGGCTTTGTTCCTCGTCATTTCATTAGCCGGGCTTTGTTCCTCGTCATTTCATTAGCCGGGCTTTGTTCCTCGTCATTTAGCCGGGCTTTGTTCCTCGTCATTTCACTAGCCGGGCTTTGTTCCTCGTCATTTCATTAGCCGGGCTTTGTTCCTCGTCATTTAGCCGGGCTTTATTCCTTGTCATTTAGCCGGGCTTTGTTCCTCGTCATTTCACTAGCCGGCTTTGTTCCTCGTCATTTCACTAGCCGGGCTTTGTTCCTCGTCATTTAGCCGGGCTTTGTTCCTCGTCATTTAGCCGGGCTTTCTTCCTCGTCATTTCACTAGCCGGGCTTTGTTCCTCGTCATTTCACTAGCCGGGCTTTTTTCCTCGTCATTTCACTAGCCGGGCTTTGTTCCTCGTCATTTGAGTGGAACCCCCCTAGGAAAGTGGAAGAGAGGGCGTCCAAGACAGATCTGACGGCGGAGTCTTCAAGAACTGTAGCCAACGGGGATGTCTTGGGAGACGGCAAAATTAATAGCCAGGGATCGAAGGAAATGGTGAAGGCCCTATGTTCCAAAAGGAGCAAAGAGGACTGAGTCAAGTCTAAGTCAAGTAACTCCCAATACAGATATGTCGATGCTCGGAGCACATTTAATTAATTTACCAGTATACGATTAGTAATTTAATTCGCATGGTTAATTAACAGGTAAGTTTAGACAAACTTATCAAACAGTAGGTTATTTTATTTAATAATAGGAAAAATATTCAGCATATCACTAGATTAGTTAAATATACGATTTATTGTTGTTTTGAAGAAAAATATGTTACGGATTTAGAATAATCCCGGTACGAAGTTATAATATCTTAATGAAATAATTTATGTATCGGTGTACTGTAAATTTAGGACTTAACGAGGAATTCGGGATTTAGACAAAACTGCAATAAGTGTTTTGATGTTGTAGAAAGATAATCTTAGAATTGATCATGCGAAATAAATTAATATAATTAAACAAATTGTGTATCCGTTGACACAAACACACAATATATTAGGCACATTTTTGAAATATTACTCACACAGTATACGAAAGTCGACTGTCGTTTTAAAAAGGGGCAGGACTGGGGCCAAATATTCGACTCAGTGTTTTATGAATCAAACCTTAAAAGTTAATACCAGCTGTCGAATACGGTATGCGGCCTACCGGAGCACAATTATTACCCGACACCATACAACTTGGGTGGAATTCACCCATTTTCATTTTTTAACAGTTTGCCATAGGCGTATTGGGTAACCTGCCCTCCACACATCAATAAATGAAAATGTATTCAAAACATTTTGTTGAACGTTTTTAAGAAGTACCATCGCATTACTCATTGGCACTTAACCCCCCCCCCCCTTCGGTTCGCCTACTGAACAACAACTATGCATGCTAACACTAATATGATACATGTGTAGTATTGTTGTAATACTACCATAAGACACAATCAATAATGCCATAATGCGCATCGACACTTTTTTACTTTCTCGTATATACGAAGTATAGAAAAAGTATTGTAATCGTGCACAAATATCACTTGAAATTTTAACAATTTTCACCGTATTACACCTAAGTCCTTCATCACATCCGAAGTATAGTGGACTTGTTTTAATCGGGCAAAAATTATCAATCCAGATTTATCAAAATTAAGAGGTTTTATGCGTAATCCAGTCTGAAAAACTGGGCTTTGCAATTCTGTCCGTATGTCTGTGTGTCTGTCTGTCCGTGTGTAAACACGATAACTTGAGTACCGTTACAGCTAGGTTGATGAAATTTCATATATAAGTATTTTATCAAAATCGTAGATCCGTATCAACTTTTGAGCGATTTCCGATAACCGGAAGTGGTACTTTTTCTACTTTGAATTTTTCAAAAGCCTATAACTTGAGTACTATTTCAGATAGATAAATGAAATTTCACATGTAAGTAAAAGATCTAATTCTAATTTTATTCTATTTTTAAAACTTTAAGTATTTAAAATGGATTATGTCTATAGCCCGAGTTCCCATCCCCTGTTGTTTTATATAAGAATATTCGAGAAAGTTTAGGGGAGATCACTCCCGGTTTATTTTGTATATAACGTCTCCATTGTTTTCCTCTATGGAAATGTTATACGTGTGGATTCCACTGACAATGTACACCAACGCTGGCAAGTCACGACATTCGGAGAAGGTTAGATGTGATTGTATTGGCGAGCAGATAGACTGGAACTTTAAATAAACAAGGACGAGTAGTTAAAAAAGTGCCTATCAAACAACTGCAAAAGAAGATCGTGGATCCAGTAGTTGGGAACTAGACTACTAGTAAGGCTAAATGGTAGCCACGTCACCCGGATGATGCGAAGGCGTTTACAGTTAGTTATATTGGTTGCAATATGCCCGGGGGGGGGGGTGTAACGTGTAGATATAAATAGTTTTATGTAGCCTCGGCCTAAAGTTCGCATAATGGCGTTTCTGCTGCTAACCTTTAAGTATCGAGTCCTAGGCTAGTACGGCGTCTACCAAACTGACGTTACCTGACAAGGGTTCAGAGTTTCTTCCAGGCATCTTTTCTGGGGGGCTTTGCCCGCCCCCCCCC